TTCCGGGCCTGCCGGGCACTCGGGCCGCGGCGCGCTCCCCCTTGCTGCCTTCCCGGCGGCCCGGTTTCCTGCCGGCCCTGAGCGCTCCTGATCGTCGGTTCGTGTTTGCGGAGTGATTCTGTTCGCTTTTCCTGTGCATCGTGCGTTAAGGGCTGGGTTGTGATTCTTTATTGTTGTTGTTGTGGGGTGGTTTTAATTTTTGGTGGTGGTGTTCTTTAATTTGAGCGAGGGCGTAGCAGACGTCCAGGGCCGTGGATGATCAGGAGGGTATCCAGCCCATCTCGATAAACCATGGCATATCAGTTGTACAGAAACACCACGCTGGGGAACAGTCTTCAGGAGAGCCTGGACGAGCTCATACAGGTGTGTGGGGCTTTAGGGTCTGGGCACTTACCTTTATAAAAAGGTTAGGTAGGAAATGGCCTTTGTGGTTGCTGTGTCGGGGTACTTAAGGCCAACTTACTGACTGAAATCAAAAGCTATTGGTACTCTGATCACGTGGGAAGGCTTTTCCTTATCATTCTAGACGAAGGAAAATGATTCATCTAAATGGCCTAATTCCCTGTTGCATGACCCAGTAAACGAACAGCCAGATTAATCTGGAACGCTCTAATTGATTTCCTGTTCTTCTGGCTGTTTCCAATGAATATTATCAGAAGAAATCTTTGTGTAGCACAAAAAATCATGTTAGCACGTCATTTTTTCCCCTCAGAATTAAAATAGGAGAAATGAAGTCAACACAGGAACATGCTACTTTGTAAATTGCTCTTTTAGGGATCTGCTTCACGTGAACTTTGTTTCAATGTTTTTAATTTTTACTGCATTTTTGAGTTAATTTTGAAACAACTCAAAACTTTTTTTTGTTTTTTAAACTGCTTTAGTCGCAGCAAATCACACCTCAACTGGCGCTTCAGGTGCTACTTCAGTTTGATAAAGCTATAAATTCAGCACTGGCACAACGAGTCAGGAACAGAGTCAATTTCAGGGTAAGATGACAATACATAAAAGTTCCTCCAGAGCTACCATAACCAAGCGTTGATGCAGAACGTCAGTAAAAATTGTGTGCTCTAAGCAGAAATGTATGAAGGTCCATTTTGACTCCGAAATCAGGACTGTTTATGTGTATATTCTGTATGCACTTGTAAGGTTTGTTATCTTACTGCTCTGCCAGGGATCTTTTGAAGGAATGCAAAAATCAGAAACAGATTTGCTGGGTGGATAAAAATGAGGGAAGGGGAAAAGGGAAATATTTTGATGGGTAGCATTGCTGTCCTTAGTGCCTTGCAGATGGGGAGGGAGAGACTATTGCTTCTCTTACTTGTACCTAGCAGATGTGAGATGAAGCCAGATTTTCAGCCACATCTATCATGTGAAGAGAGACTAGAGAATTGTGGATCTACCCTTATGCATGTCACTGGATCATTTCGTAGCTATTTTCTGTAGGTATCATAGAAAAATAAGTTTGAAGTTTTTTTGCAGCCAGCCACCCTACTAAATGTCAGATAGCTAGCAAATTGTTAAGTAAACCAAAACCGTTGTCCTGTTAACTTAATGTCCTGATATTTCCTCTGCAGTCTATGCAGAACGCAGTAGTACAGTGAGCTATTATGATTTTAGTTTTTTAAACCATATAGATGTGTTAATGCTCTTTTTAACTTCTTTCTCGAACACACTTAACTTGCTTTGTGTATGTAACATGGTATAGAAAACTGTTCATAATGTGTTACAAGTTTAAAAAATGTTACTTGGAGCTTAAGTTGAAGAGTATCTGTTTAAAATATGTGCAGATGAAGGCCAAAAGGTTTACACTTCAACATCCTCAGTAATACATCAAACATAAGGAATGCTCCTTTATGTCATGTTTTGTCATGATTTTTTTATTTAAGCTATCATTTTACTTAAACAGTTGCAGAATTCATACCTTATGATTACTGCTGTCACTGATTTTTGTTGTGGCTTGTGTTTTGAGAAATCTTTTCTGATACTGATCTTCCATACACATTAGAAAAGTTACAAAACTTGTTAGCGTACCTGGGAAGCTTCCCCTTGGATAGACTATAATATCACTACATGGTCTTGAAAATTTCAGCCACTGAAGGGCATTTAAACTACAGTTTGCCTCAGAATTGCTTGCTTGCCAAGTTGGTATGCCTTCAGGTTCGCAGTTGGCTTTATGGCAAACCTAGTTCTAGAAGGTACGTAGTTCAGTAGATAGTAAACATCATTTTTTCCTGTTACTTTTGAGATGTGTCTTACAGAAAATGTTTCTTGTCTTTTTAAAGGGGTCTCTGAATACGTACAGGTTCTGTGACAACGTATGGACATTTGTTCTGAATGATGTTGAATTTAGGGAGGTCACTGAACTTGTGAAAGTGGATAAAGTGAAAATTGTAGCATGTGATGGGAAAAGTAAGTATGGAATATGATACAAATAAGATGAGATGCAAGACTTGATCATTTATAGAACGCTGTGACCAAATGTCTGATTAAAGCTAGATTGATTGTATTATTCAGACAAAAGTAGGGCTCTGAGTTCCCTTTTACATATGCTGAGAAATGAAACAAAAGCAAGCTAAATGCTTCCTGACCTCATAAGCACTGAAACAGGAATGTGTTAGAGACTGCTGTACAGCTGTTGTTGGGAAGTACATACTGCTCGAGAGAGTAGAAAGTTTGAAGTAATCAACTTCTGTGTGGTGGTTTTACTAGTATTAACCTGTTCGTTAGAACAGTGCCATGTTTTACTGTGTTCAAGGTAAGCTTCATCAGTCTGAGGAAAAAATTGTCTAAGCAGTTGTTTGCTGGATGTGATAATAGGGGACAACCCAAGCACATGAAAAGCTTATGCTAGCGTTTGCAAGTCATATAAGACTTATGTATTGTTCAACAGGCCCACACTGTGTGTACACTGCTTGAGGTGGTTTATGTTCCATATCTGTTTGACTGTATTACTTTTGCACATGTTCCTTAAAATTCTTTACTGGAAAAAGTAATTTAGTGACTTTTGTGGCAAGCTGGTTTATAACTCTTAAAACCATCAGTGTGGCAGAATATTGTTAAAGATGTGTGAAATGGTGCCACTTGTTTCATCCCTGGGTAGTGATGCTAAAAGGAAGAACTGGGAATGGAAAAGGCTTTATTTAAATATACCCTAGACCTCTGAAACAAGTTCTTCATGGCTTCTTGATCCTGGCATGATTACAGCATTCACTTCAACTTGTAGTTCTAAAGAGTTGACAGAATTCATTGTTTGCTCAACTTCTGGTATTAGCCAAGCATATAATCTTATTCTGTTTATTTTTTGTGTGCTTATTATAGCTAGTAGAGGAAACCTTACTTTCCAAGTAGTAATTGTTTTCACTCTTGATAAGATTTAAAGAACTGGGTGACTTAAAGTTGCGTTTTTTTCCACAAAAAGTTGACTTGCTACAGGAACATAGTAAACACTGCCTTGTCTTTCTCTGTATCCAAGTTAAGCATTTTTTTCCATAGCTCTATAAACAAGAGAGTAGTAATGGTAGTAATACCAGAGATTGCACTGGTGTTAATTGGTGCTTCTGACAAAAGTTCAGAACAGAGAATTGCTCTCAGTTGTTTTATTAAGATCATTCTTATTCTTGCATCTGTTTCAAAATGCATAATAAGCTGTAGCCCACACTCCATAGGAGCTTATGCTACAGGATGTGCAAAAGTCTTTCTCTTTTTAGATTGTGTGATTTACCCCGATGTGTTTGTGGCTGACTGCAGTAAAGTGTGTGTATCACTACAAGTTAGAGCAAAACTTCTTGTATTTTTAATGCCTTAATGGCAGATGATGTGTGTGCACGACCTTGAAGTTTTGTGCTGGCTCTTGTCAGTGGTGCCAGCTGAAGTGATTGGGTAGGTACAGACATGTCCTGAAATGCTTGAGGAATGCTTTGAGCTTGGGGGGAAGGTATTAGAGAATGGTATTGGTTCTCTTTAATTTATACTCAACTGTAGCAGGGGTATGTATTACTCACACTTTCTTTTTTCTCTCCTAGACACTGGTTCCAATACTGCAGAATGAGTGGAACTGTGGTTTGTCTGCAATATTTTCTGTTAATATGCAGCACTTTCTGGAGAGAAGCATGGAAAGGGACTATGTTCATACTTAATTCTTGTGATGCAGATGGGAGTTAATCCATACCAGAAAGCACCACAGAATGACAGCAGAGGAAATACCTGTAGGATTTCTTCAGTTCACCTTATAGGGCATGAATACAATGTTACTTTTTTTTTTTAATTGCAACAGATACTGTTGTCTTTTTTGTTCAAAATAATTTCTGTAATAAACTTTTATTTAAAAACTTGTGAATGAGTGATTATTGGAAAATTTTGTTTAAAAGCAATCATTAATAAATCCTCTTAATACTAAGTGTGTTTAGATTAATGTTGCAAATGTAAAGGTCTTTCAGTTACAGGGTTCTGAGTATGGTTGCACTGGTTAGTATTGCAGGAAAAGGCTGTCTCAGAATGATGGTGGAGCACATCAACAAAAGCTTAGCAGCTCATGGTGGCCAGTATATGTGTCTGCTTGTTACTGCATTTTTCCATCTATAAATCTGTCCATTTGGTACCCTCTGCTAATAATGCACTAACCCAAGTATTAAAGTTACTGAACAGCTAATCAAATTGAAATAAACTGAGTCTCATAAGATTGCACTACATTCTCAACAGATGTTAATGCTGCTTTTTAACGTTTTTCTGTTTGTTTTTTGTATTTATGTGGAATACATTTGAGTGGACACCTGGCCAACAGGCTTTCAGGGAAAGAATTGAGCTGTGAATTTTGAGCTATCAAATGGATAACTTTGTCCTTTTTAGATTTAATCATTCCACTAAACTCCAGTCAAGAAACCCTTAAAATAGTTTCTTCACTGGAGGTATGAGTATAATACGCCAACAGCTCATTTGTCTGACTTAACAGCAGTGACTGTTCCAGTGCACTCAGAGGACTGCTAGCTGCCTCAGCAGTGTCAAATTCTTTTTTCTGGTTGTTGGGTTTTTTTTTTTTGAGTAGGCTATTTACAGACCACTAAAAATTGGAAACTGTACAGAAGAAAAGTTAGGGATAACTGTTTTCAGATCAGCCTAAGTCTTCAGTTTGTGCTGAAACAAGCATAATTGACATGCTCAAACCTTCCTCTGCTTGACAGTGGCCCAGTCTATTAAAGTAATAAAGCTTTAGATGCTCTTGTAATACTGTTTTCCGACTGAAGCATTACGGTTCTCTAAATCCTACCTTGAGTCATCAAAGGATATATATTTGGGGTTTGGTTAACTTTTGCTTCCCTCACTTCAAGTGAGAAAGGAGTTCACAAACTTGCTTGCTAGACTGTTATTACTATGTTTACTATTAATTTTGTTGTCTTGTATCAGTGGTAAATGTCCTCTGCTGCAAACATGATTGGCAAGTAACCATTTTTGAAACCAGAACAAGATACTGTCCTCGTTTGAACAGCACAATAAGTATCTGTTGAGGTCATTATCTTAAAGGATGTAAATGTATATCCATATTGTGGTTTTCTCTTTTTCTGCATCAGAGACTACATCTTCTAGGTTTAAGCTTTTTTTTTGCTCTAATAATCTCATGGTAAACTGAATTTCAGCCCTTACAAGTATAAAAGTTTTCTGTTCTTACCTCCAACTCTTTGCAGTCTCCTTCTCCCTTTGGACAGAAACTTTGCAATCTCCAGTTCTCTGTAATATTTGGACTCCCTCCTAAGGCAAATAATTATATCTCTGATTTTGTTCCAATTAAGTGTGCATATTTGCTTTAGCATTTTTCTGTTAAAAACAAATTGAATAGAGAAGCACAATTGTACTGATGATGTGAGGTTATTGTGTGGAATGGATTTATGCTTATGTTGCATTGATACTCCATCAGACTTCTCTTTTGTTTCAACAGTTGTGTACTGCTACCTTAGCTGTTAACTGGAAGGGAAAGAAATATTTAAATGAAAAAGAAAATGATGTAATGAATATATATACTAAGAAAAATTACTAATGAAAGGAGAAGTAATTTTGTTGTCAAAGATATCTGCTACTTAGTAATCAGTGATATTCAAATCAATGTGAGCAGGAACCAGAAATGATTATGTTCATAATTCAGGACAACTTTACTGATTTGTTTAAAAAAAGGTAATAGTCCCATTGAAGCTCTAAACTTGGTCCTTTGGAAAGAGACAATGATGGGATACTCCCTGTGCTGATGCATAGCAGTATACCCTACTTATCTGGTGGTTCCGGTTCAGAATGAAAACAGATTTTAATTTTGCCTTGTAAGGAAGCATTTGAAAAGGAGATGGACGTTCTGAAAGGAACTTAAATGCTCTGTATCCAAGTCTTAGTCTGCTGAAAAAGTGTGCAAATGCTTAAGTGACACAGATGTTCTTGATTAGCTTGTTTTTTCGCCTGAGTGGCAAAAATGAAAAACATACGTTATGGATGCTTCTGAAATGTTCTAGGATTTTTTTTCTTTTTTTAATAATAATGTCTAAAAGAAATGTACAACAGACTTCAAAGATTTTTGGAGCAACTGGAATGGTTGGGGACCAGGGGCAATCTGTTCTTGGGCAGAGTGCTAATGAAGGGAGCATTGTGCTGAGGGAATCTGTGTAGTTTAGTCTGTGTGAAAGGCTGGAAACCATGCACAAATTGGGCAGTGAGGGAATGTTTTAGGTGAAACCCCAAACAAATGGGTAGGAACCAGAAGGCAATCATAATGTATGCTTCTGTATAGATACTCCTTTCCTCTCTTAAGCTGGAAGTCTGAGAAGGCCTTTCATACTAAACAGGAAGAGAAAAGTTAGCAACAAAACCAAAAACTGAAGAAAGGCAAAAACATACTCTGAACCTTTTGCATTGCTGCTGATCATTGTGTACTTGGCTAATTATTGGTGGTAGGAGCTTTATTTCACATCTGGATAATGTTTTAATATCACTGTTTACAATTTTCTGGTAACAGGCTAGCTGTGGTTATAGCAGATATATCACACTTGTTTTCCACTCTTCGTGGAATGCTTGTTGTTTTCTGTGTACTCCATATTTAATTTACAAACTATATGTTTTGTTATAAGTTGGACCACTTATTGTTCCTAAAATCAGCTTACATATATATCTTCCATCTTCCATCTCCTTCATGACAGTGCCATGTCAGACTTTTTTTGCATCTGTGGGATGTTTCTAGGACATGGAATTCAGATCTGGAAGCATACAGGCTACTGAGTTTACCGGGGTATACAAAAATACTTGAACGTTTGTGATCAATGCTATTACTAGTTGCTCTTTTGATCTCTTGTCCTTGAGAGCCAAAGGGCAGTCTGTGCATATGCATTTGTCAGCCTTGTTCCTGGCAGTTATGTTACAGCGCAGAAGCTCCGGGCCCCACTTCTCTAGTGTTTCATTGTTCAGTGAACATACTGTTGAAAATCGCAGAAGTTCGTGTTGGTTTTGTGTGTGTGAATAGACAACCTGAGTAAGAGTTGCTTGATGGTTTCTAAAGTAAACCTCACACAGGTCTGGTGTTCTGAAGTTATCTGGCTTTGTTTCTGTATTTTGTGTGGAAATAGTCTCAGTTCCTTGCTTACTTATAGGTGGTTTTGTTGTTGTTGTTGTTTCTAAACTATCCTTTCTTAAAGTCTCCATTCAGCAGAAGGTATTTGCCCTGTTAACTGCCATCTCTTTAGAAAACAGCTCTTGAGGCATACTGAGGTGTAAATAATTCTTGGGAATAACCTTTGTGATGTCTGGAATTGCTATAGTGATGCCTCAGGGAGTACCTGCCTATGGGATGAAGACTGTTGTCTGGTCCCTGCAGAAGAGAAGCTTACCTATGCTTCTGGAGGAATTACTTTCTGCAAACCTCATAGCTGTCAACACAGGCTCTGACACTAGCTTGGCAGCACACATTCTCGGCTATAACCATGTTTCTGGGATGGTGTTCGTCCAGGTCTGGGATCTGCTACTTCTGAGGAGGCTGTTTCAGTTCCCGGAAGGGAAGGAAATAAAAGGTAAGGGGATCTGGTCCCAATGTTCTTCCTGCTTTCTGTTACATTACTCTCTATGACTTTCTTGCCACTTACTATTTTTTTTGTTTGATTTTTAGCTAATACCTCCATGTTCATATGATTAATGTGCTTTGTGGTCTTGGAAGATTTGTTGAACTTACGCTTAGTGTTAACTGCACTTTTGTTACACTAAGTATTTTAATAGCTGTCGGAAGACAAATCCTCTCACTTGCTCCAGCATTGGCATGCTCACTGCTGCCTGTTCCGTTCTTCCTTGTGTGTTATGGACTGATTAATTCATTTGGGTTTTTTGCTGATTTTCTTCATAAAGGTCACAGTTGCTTCCACCTTATCAGTAGCTGAGAGAAAGTAAAAGATGCCTTTGCACCCTGACCTTGAGCTGGAATGGATGTTTCTGTGTAGGAAGTCAATTAACTAAAATAAATGATAAACGGCATCATAGAAGTGGGTGTGTGTGATTGCCTGTGTTTAAACATGGCTTCTGAGAGAAAGGATTTTTGTGAATTCCTGAAGTATGCCATACAGGATGTTACCTGAAGTAAGCTGTTTGCTCAGTTGGGGATGTCATTACCTGACTTTAAATGTTATCAGAGAGACATAAATTAAGGGGAAGTGCAGAGCAGGAAGAATTTATGATGAATTCCCCTAAGACAAGTTTATTCAGGATCATGATGTACTTTTACACAATGACTAGGTACGATGAGGTAGATGATAGTTACTGAAAACACAGATCTCAGCAGCTTAGGAGGTAGTATTTGACAAGGTACTAGTGACTTAGTTTTGCTTCTCTGTACTCTAAAAATTCTGAGGGGCTGAGAGATGTGGACTTTACTGTAACTTGGAGTGATTTTTTTAATGAGGAAAATGGCTTTGCTGGAAGCTAAATTTACTGCGTAAATTGGCCATTATGGTTTGTAAGCAGTAAGTCACCAGATATGTTAATTTTTTGGTTTTTCACCTTGTGCTAAAACACGCTGCACCCTCCAAGGAAGTGGAAAATAGTTCACTGAGAGTCTAGTTAATGTTTTGTGGTCACTGCTGTTGCAATCAGAAGAAAAAGGACACTCTCACCCTATTTTTTTTTTTTTTATTCGTGGCTGCAAATACTTTTCTGATATTTTGTTCCTATAGGTCATGTTTGCTTCTAGTTTGTTCAGAATTTATTACCTGGTTTCCTCTGAATTTATGACAGTTGACCTGTCTATTATAGGACATTTCAGAGGTGATCATATGGCATATGAAAGAACTACAAAGCAAGAAGGAAATAGACTCTCCTAACA